AATTGTGTTTGGAATTGCATGTGATGAAAAGAAATATATATATATATATATATGTGTGTGTGTGTGTGTGTGTGTGTGTGTGTGTATTGTATTGTGATATTGTCTAGAAGGATAGAGATGTCAATGTAATACACGGAGGACAAAAGCTGGGCACATTGATGCACCAGAAAGACAAACAGGGTATTCGTGTATAGCCCATTATTATCAGAAAAATCCATGCTGATCGCTTCCTCGTGGTATCCATATCCCCTCGTGACCCTTTTATTTTGTTTCTGTCTCCCAAAATAAATAGTTTTGCAGAGTTTGAACTTCTTTGACCAGAAACCCAAAAACAAAACAAAAATAAAAAAGTTCTATATATTATCTTCATGATGCACATTACATAGCATATATATAGCCATGAATAATTGCAAGTGCTTTCTCAAATCCTTTCCTTTTCTTTTAAAAAAAAAAAAATCTCTTTTCAAGTTTTGAATTTATATATGAATAAAATATAAATATTTGCTCGTCGCCGTGCAGTAGAGGCTCAGTGAAACAGACAAAAGAGAGTGCGAGAAGAGACAGAAGAAAGAACCTTGTAGCTTGTCGTATAGAATACAGGTTTTGATTCTTTCACTTTAGAAAGAGAAGAGAGAGAGAGAGAGAGAGAGAGAGAGAGAGTAGTAGTAGTACTACTACTGTTTTCCAAATATATATAAATATGCATTAATGTGTAGAACCCAATATCAGTCATTAGAGATTGTTTATATAAAATAATAATGGGGTTTTATCCGTATTCGCTCTGTGTTTTAAGTTGTCTCTCCTTGAAATTCCCATACTGGAAAAGACTATAATAATGGGGTTATTGAAGAAAAAAAAAAAGTTTGTTCCGTAGTAAAAATAAATAAATAAATAAATAAAATAATTGGGGGGGTTTTTGGAAGGTATCGGCGGTGGTCATGTGAGAGGAGGTGGGGTTGGTTTCACTTTCACTGCGTTTTAGAAATTAGAATAGAATCTTCTTGGCTCTTCAACGTGTTGAAGGTGGTCTGTGTTGTGTTGGGGTGATTTTTGCTAGTGATGGTGGTGGGCTCGGTAGGATCTGTCTGAGTTGCTGACAACTTGTGAAAGAAACCAGCCTTTGTTTTTCTAGATTTCCATACTATGTGGACCCATCTCTCTCTCTCTCTCTCTAATTTCTCTTTCTTATTATAAGTGTGTGTATATAAATGCGTGTGTCTTATATTAATTAGTCGAGCAAGCAAAAAAGATCTTCATCAAAATTACTGCTATATCATCAACCATTCATGTGTGATGTTTGTTACCGACCATCTAGTTACTAGATATGATCTTATCAGATCATGATCTTCTAATATTTCATCAAACATTATAGGGTCCCATAAATTTATCATCATGCAGGGGGGATCACATAATAATAGGTTTCTGGGGATGATCATCAGCTTATAATTATCAGCTGCCGTATAATTTCAATTCACTGTAACATGCATCGATTTTTTGAACTTTAATATATCTGAATTAACTAATTGACTAATTACAAAAAGCGTCAATAATTTGTAAGTCTCCCAAAATTAATGGCCAATTTGTTTCACACATTTAAGTCAGTGATTTTAATTTTAAATTCAAATTTTGTGAGAGAACCCATTGGTGAGAACTTTTTTTATTCAAATTTTTTGTGAGAGAAAAGTACTGTAATAAAATCAGAATCATAATTTTAAACGTGTGAATTAAGCGGACACTAAAGTTCTTACGGCAATGGCGGTCTAAATGAAAATGTCTGTTGGACGGAAAAATCATGTCATGAAAAATGTTTTAGTCCAAAAATATTTTGTTTTGAAGGGCAATCCAAAAATGTTTAATTCAAAAGAAAAATATCAAACTTTTATTATTATTTTTTTTTTATTGAAGAGTGGCCTGATGGTTTGGTGAAAGGTACATGGGAAATGTTCCCAGAAATGTGCAAGTAACATGAATGGGGGGAATAGGGAGGTTATAGTGAAAACATGTTCTCAATGAGAAAAAAAAAAAAAATTACAAAACAAGAATCAGAATCACGAGAATTGCATATTATTCGCAGAACCATCAAAATTAAAAGGACTACTGTCTCCATGTCAGCCGCTGCAACTGTGCAGATCAGTGCAGAGAAAGGGCCAGGGGTGTGAACGTGGAATTAAATTAGAGAGGAAAGGAAAGGAAAGGAAGGAGAGAACAAGAGTAAAAGAAAATGAAGGTAACAAATACAAACAGAAACAGAAAAAGGCGATGGAAGTATTTTTTAGCTAGAGGCCAGCAAGAAGTACTTGTTTAATTTCTCATCTTATTATATATATATATATATGCTGGCCCGAGAAATTAAAAAGGACTTTTAATATATGTTGAATTGTAATTTTGGAGTTCGATGAAGCTGATCATTCGGCTTATTCATATTGCTTAATTATATATACATTTATACGAATTAATTAGCATCAAGAAAAAGTTCACTAAAATATAAAAAAGACTAATGACAGCCGGCCTGCCCTTTTTCTCCATAGGGGAAGTTAAACCACCTTTCAAAATTAGTACTTATATATATATATATATATATATATGTGTGTGTGTGTGTTTTTTTTTTTCTTTTGTAGGGAATTTATTTGGTCGAGTATTTCATACGGAAAATATTGGTAATTTGTCTCTCTTGCACATCACAGAGGATGAACTATAAAGTTGGGAAGTCTTTTTTGTGCTGGATGAGGTTGAAAACTTTTGGGATTTTTGTTTCACCAATTTTTTATTTAAAAATAAATGGTTGTGGACTTGAAATGGATATATATATATATATATATATATATCTGTGTGTAGCAGAAAACAAAAGTAAGAAATTATTATATGTAGGTGGGGGAACTGGGGACAGTTTTAACATTGTTTTTCCAATAATGAAAATCATAGACATAATCAAAATAATCAGTTAGAGTATCTGAGTGAAATAATTAGCCATCATTTTCCTATTCGTTTCACTTTAAGGCCCTGTTTGGTGTGTCCCTACTCTCAACAGTTTGTACACTACTCTCCGTCTGTCACTATTACTAATCACAAGAGGAATCCTTTTAATCCTTGATCCTCTTTCCTTTTACTTTTATAGGATCCCTCACTTCTCTACTTATTATTACAAAGTTCTCTTTTTGTACTACAATAGTAACAATCTTTGTTCAAACTTTGACAACTCTTTGCTAGCTAGCGGCGGAAAAATAATAATGTCACCCCTGACCTAAATTCTCTCCTCGTAGTTTGCCGTTTGGTGAATATTCAATATTAATTTCCTGCCAGATTCGTGTTATTATTTTCTCCTTTCTTTCAATAAAAGAAAATATTATCTATGCCTCTGTACCTCCTTTGGAAGAGAGCAAAAAGAAGAATATTTCTTGGGCCATTACAAAGAGAGGAAAAGAGAAAGCTGTAATTTTTCTTTCTTTGTTTTTTTTTTTTTTTTTTTTTTTTTTTTTTTTTGTATATATATACCATCCCCTTTTCAGTTATTCATGGAAACTTTTAGGTCCAATAATTCAATCACCTGGACACGTCAGCAAAGAAGCCGAGCCGAAGAAGAGCCAAAGTTTGAGGCTCAAAAGAGGCTAGAGAGAGAGAGAGAGAGAGAGCTAATGTTATTGTAAGCTAGCGAGTAAAGGTAGTAGTGGCCAGAGCGAGCATGTCAAGCTGTATGATATAGAAGTTTGGAATGTTATGAGAAGAAAAAGAAGTGGAAGAAAAGAAGAAAGAAAGGCGGAGAGAGAGAGAGAGAGAGAGAGAGTGAAGAGATGCAAATAGAAGAGAAGCAATGGAAGGAAGAAATGTCGTCACGAAGAACAGGCTTTAAATCCCATCACGTAGTTCGATGTATCCTTTACCTTATATCTGCTAGATAGTAGTAGAAAATGATGGGGATTCGAAATTTGAGACCGTGTTTGGTTGGTGCTACTATTAAACAACAAAAGCAAAACTACAAATTGAAAAGAGGACACTCGTTTGACGTGAAACCAAGCTAGCTACCTAGCTACCTTCCCACTCCTATTTCTCTTACATTCATTCCTCTACCTAATAAATATTAAACACGTTTTTTTTTTCTGACAGAAATACCCCTCCGCCTAGCTTCTACTTCTAACTTCTAAATCCATGCATGCACTACTGCATCTTTTATAAGAAGCCACACAATCAAACAAAATTTCGTGTTTAACTTTGTTTTTCGATATTCTGAAATTGATGACTCAATCTATCGAGTAGAAAAGATGGACGATACCATTTTGAAAAGCCAACTCTCCAGTTGATAAGTTAAATTACCATGTGTATGAATAGATTATTAATGTCACTTTATTTTGAATTAATTGACAAAATGATCATTAGCTAGGTAAAATGAAACTCATTATGGGCATTTTGAAATTTTATTTGAAGAGCCATGTATTAGTAGCTAAGCTAGTTTGTCTATTTGTTAAAAGCAACATATTAAAACTCTAGGCTTTTACAACAAGCTTTCATATTAAATGCCATGTGCTGGTTTGAAAAGCAGAACCTACCATAAGAAGTCCTTCCTATTCCAAGATCTAGAAGATAAAAAACAAAATTACTATCTGTTTATGGAACAGCAGTAATGAAGAGTTTGACCATTTTAACTATAACGAAGGTAAAGGAACACACGCAGATGATCACAAGAGTAAAGGGAAAAAGGAAAAAACAGGAGGAAAAAGAGGGGTGGAATGGTAAATTCACAAGGACAGAAATGTGTATCTCCCTGCAGCATACTCCTGTGCGTGATTTTTAAGTGGGTGTGCGCGGGATCAAATTGTCAGTAGAGAGAGAGAGAGAGAGAGAAGAGTAGTGTCTAGTGTGTCACGGGTTTGTCTTGAAAGGCCCTTATTTCACAGTCCTAGACAGACAGACACATATTCTCTCTCACTACATAACCGAGGAGGGAAACTACAATTTTTAATACCCCTCTCATTAACCATCATTAAAAAAAAAAACAAAAACAAAAACAAAACAAAACAAACCAAAAAAAAAAAAAAAACAACCGCATTAGCATTATACAGTAATACTAGTTGTACCCCTCCACACACACCCCAAGTCCCAACATTTTATCCACCAAGATTCACACTACACATCTCCCTCCCTCTCTCTCTCACTCTTAACCCCATTATTTTTTCCTCCTCAGATCTCTCTCCGAACTTACTATTACAGTGATCATAATCTAGCTCCAATGGCTCTAATGCTTGACAATTGCGAAGGCATACTACTCTCCTTAGACTCCCACAAGTCAGTCCCCGCACCATTCCTCACAAAAACCTACCAGCTCGTCGACGACCCCTCCACCGACCACATCGTCTCTTGGGGCGAAGACGACACCACCTTCGTCGTTTGGCGTCCTCCGGAGTTTGCCAGAGATCTCCTTCCCAACTACTTCAAGCACAACAACTTCTCTAGCTTTGTCCGCCAACTCAACACCTACGTATGTATATATTGTATATATAATCATACAATATGTATACATGTTCATGTTTGTTGTTGACGACTGATTTCGTTTTTTTTTTTTTTTTTAAACTAGGGTTTTAGAAAGATTGTACCAGACAGATGGGAGTTCGCGAACGAGTTCTTCAAGAAGGGAGAAAAGCACCTGCTATGCGAGATCCACCGGCGAAAGACGGCTCAGCCGCAAGTGTCTCTCAACCACCACCACCACCATCACCATCCACATTCTCATCATCAGATCGGAATCAACGGCCCTAGTTTCTTCCCCTTCTCCAGCACCACCGGCAGAGTCAGCATCTCTCCCTCCGACTCCGACGACAACCCCAACAACTGGTCCTCCTGCGACTCACCCCCGCTAATGTCATCCCCGAGAGGGCCCACCGCGGCCATCGTCGGCGGAGTGTCATTGGGTAACTTCGGCGGCGGCGGCGGCGGCGTCACCAGCTCCGTCACGGCTCTCTCCGAGGACAACGAGAGGCTTAGACGGAGTAACTCAATGCTCATGTCTGAACTCGCCCACATGAGAAAACTCTACAACGACATCATTTACTTTGTTCAGAACCATGTCAAGCCTGTCGCACCAAGCAACGTTTCCTACCCAGCAGCTTCTCCTGTGCTTCTTTGTAATGCGAGTAACGGCGGTGGTGCTACTAATAATGCCTCTTCGGTTGTGCTGCAGAAGCCTTTGAACCAGCTTTTTGGCTACTACCCAAGTGGTACTACTCATGTTAATAACCCTAAGGTACAATTAAACAATCTTCACGCCAATCATGGCGGATTAAACTCACCGTCGACGACGGCGAAGAGCTCGGTGACGATTCTCGAAGAGCGAAATACTACTACTAATGGATGCAAAACCAAGCTGTTTGGCGTGCCTCTTCATTCAAAAAAGAGGTTGCATCCCGAGTATGGTTCGGGTAATGCGACCAACAACATGGAAAATAATAAGGCTCGTTTGGTTCTAGAAAAGGATGATCTAGGCTTCAATCTCATGCCTCCTTCAACATGTTAGTCTCTTTCTTTTTTCTCACATCAAATCTATTCAAGAATATGAAAGCTTCTTACTTTTTTCTTTTCTGATCTTTATAAATTTTCTAGTTTGGTTTTCTTTTTTCGGGCTTCTGATTTTAGGGGGTCTAGAATCAGATGATCAAATTGTTAGTGAAATATATATGCGTGTGTGCGTGTGCGTGCCTGTAGTGTGGATGTTTGTGATGGAGTCTGTGTATATATAACTTTAGCGTCGGTAGTATCTTTTGTTTCTTCTCACCGCCATGAATGGCAGGTGCGTTTTGGTTAGAGTGAAGATCTCAAAGTAAGTTAAATGGCCAACGCCATCGTTTCCTTTTTTTTTTTTTTTCCTTTCTTTACATTCAGTGGTGCAATTTATTACTCTCTATCATGGGATCTCTTTTTCCCTTTCTTTTACCTCCTGCTTCATCAGTTACTGATTGTACATGTTCTCTGAGAGTTTCAGTTGCATTAATGCAAGATATAGAGAAGAGGGAGAGGGAATGGATATAGAGATTTCCTTTCAAAAAAAAAGTGGGAGGGATTACAGGCTGTTTTATGAAAAATAAGTTACTCTAGGGCTTTCTCTATTTCGTCCATTAATGGATACGTACAAATAAGGGCCAGGAAATACTTCGTCTAACTTCAGAAACCGATGAAAAAGAAATAAAAAATGTAAAGGCAGCTGACACCAAAATGACAATTCGTTCCTCAAAATCATATACATTAACAGTGTAATTATTATTATTATCATCGTTATAATTGTCAAAGAAGAAAGTATACTATGATTTAATGAAAAGAAGGCCATCATATCCTTTTGATCAAGGTTATAATCTCTATTTCTCGTTTCCATGAAAACGTCAGTCACGCAAGGAATTAAATTATTAAATATATTTTAAAAACAGAAAAAGGAAAACAAAAGAGTGGGTATTTCAATGAAAGCGAAATATAATAGAAACTGACTAAAAATGTGGGTTTGAAATGTTTCTATCAAGGCTTCTATACTTCTTCTCCTTCTTCTACTAAAGGGCCAGAAACCTTTGCCTTTTCCTACTTTAAGTACCTGCTCAACTTCTTCAACCCTTCTTTGGATCCCTCCCTTGCCTCTTTTTTTTTTTTTTTTCTCCACCAATTCCAACCTTTCTCTTTTCCTCTTCCAGAAAAAAGGAGAAAATATATATATATATACAAACTAGGAGAAATATCTTCTTAACTGATGGGTATACGAAAACCATCTTTACCCAAAAACCCATCTTCTTTTCTGTGGCTTTGATCGTCCCTTTGTCCAACACCCCAATACAAGTAAAGTTTTGGCATAAAGTTCGACTAGCTACGCATTTTTTTAGTACTCCTTGATTCTTTTCTTGAATCTTTTTTTTTTCTAATAGTTAGTCATGTATTTCCATGCGGTTATTAAAGGTCTAAAAGGAGTAAACTTTGTGCAGGCAGAGATAAAAAGCAAAGATAAGAAAAATCTATTTTAAGCCTCTGAAGAAACAAAACTAGGTAATAATAATATTATTAAGTTGGAATTAGAATATCTTTTTGTGCAGTGATTTTTGTCTCAAACGCCATAAACCCTAACCCTAGAGAAGTTTTGACAATGGGAGCGACTACCCATTACTCTCTCTCTCTCTCTCTCTCTCTCTCTCTCTCTCTCTCTATGCTTTTGCCCTTTAGGAACTTGGCACGTGACTAGTGTTTGCACGTGTAGTGTACATTAATAACATCATAGAAGCAAGATCTTTCGTCCAATAGAGAGGGAAAGAAAGTGGGTGATATGGGGCTTCAAAAGTGGATTACGGATCATCCGGTAAAAGATGCTTTAGGTGGGAGTCTGTTTGTTGCTAAACAGCCGTATCGGACCGCGAAAATGGCTTCTTGAAAGTTTAAAAAGGGAAAAGAAGGAAATTTGTGGGTTTTAAAAAGACAGTGTTTTGCTTCGTTTAAGTCTTCTGAATTCACTTTATTGACATTTCCTTGGCATTTCTTTTGGTAACACTTTTTTGACAGCTTTAAAAAATTTTAATAAAAGTTTAACAATACCAATATATATGTCGTTTTATTTTAATGTGGGATTTTAGATGTGCACGACTGCAGAACTGGAGGATCATCTACGTTTTCTTTACTTTGCTTCGGGTTATGCGAAGCTGCTTTATTGGATGGAATTAAAAGACGCATAGCCGTCTATATGATGCCTTCTTGAATATATTGTTGATCTCGATTAATTAAACTTACAAAAAGAAAAGAAAAAGGGGCTTATATATATAGTTGATTTCAAGTTACAAGAAAAAATGCCACTTCTAAGAAGAATGCCATCATAGGAGTTGCTAAGAATCTTCTTTTGAGAAAAAAAAATAAATCAATAAAAAAGAATAACACTTATTTAGTAAATTAATGTCTTACGAATATATATCTTGAAATTATATAGCAAATTTTATTAGCAAAAGAAAAAACTATAGAAGCAATATTACTGTGTGGAATATATATTGTAGAAAAAGTTTACAAGTACGACATCGTAAAATTAGTTTATGTATCATTAAAAAGGTTTATAATTATGACATGTTAAACTGGCCTAAGAACATTTTAGTGACGAGAAAATAATATCGAAATACTTCTGCAGCATTCCATTATTGTTAGGGTTATCACTAGAGGCAAGGCTGAATGAAACAACCACTCATTGAAGCCCAAAAAAGGGGAAAAAAAAGAGAGAAAATTACATTTAGCTAAAGCTTTCAAAAACTAAGAGGGGAAATGAAGGATTACAATTATCATATTAATTACTTGATTTTTGAGATGATAATGTAGGGTAATTTTGTGGAATACCATTTCTAAAGGATGATATTTCAATTACAGGTTTTATCGCACCATGTATTTTAAGATTATTCAGTATGGACTCGGTTTTGAATGATTACAAAAGTATGACATCATATTGCATTAAATAGGTTAATGTATACCTGCTATTAACACAATTATGACTAAGAAATTGACTAAAATAGGCTTGTATTGTGGACATCTACATAAACCATCAAGCGTAGATGAACATTACCCACCAATCATGAAAATCCGTTAAATTCAAAATGGGTACAATGAATTTAGAGAGTGAATTTCTCAACAAAAAAAAAAAAAAAAAACGAGAGTGAAGTCTCTGACTGTTAAATTAGATATGCATAATTGGTGGGTTTGTTCGTGTGGAAATATAGATTGGTAAATCAGATCTAAAGTTTGAAATGATGTGTACATTTTAAGGGGTAGTTTAGAATGTAGCGAGTGTTTAATTTTCAAAAAATTGTAAATATTGGAGTGAGTAAAAAAAGATACCAATTAATTAATGGGGCTCAAATCTAATAATAACAAAATCTACTCTACGTGGCAGGCTCATGAAGGTGGATTAAATGTAACAATTGTTTTAGAATATTTTAAGAATAAAAAAAATTATGTAGTAATTATTGTAATGATTCACATTTTATACTACAAAATTATGCAATAATTATTATTTGATTTTAAGTTTCGCAATTTGTAAATTATTCTATTGTTGGCTATATTTTAATATGATTAGTAATATCATGTCTAACTCACTCAATAGGAAAATGAGACAAATACTCCTCAGAATACATGTGCCTTAGATTTTTATCTTTACAGTTGATTTATACCCTTTAGTGAAAGAGATATACTAGACAAAAAGGTATTAATCAAGAGTAAAACGTAAAAATCTTACAACAATATATTCAATATATGAGTTCACCAATTTTCCCCATTCAATATATGGAGAAAATTACATATTCTACCTTCTTAAGTACGTGACTTAAGAGTATCTCTTTTTAAAAATTCTACCCCTTGATTAGTTTTAGTCTAAAAGACAGAAATATATAGATTAATGTTAAGGGTAGAAATATAATGTGCTCCATTTCAAGGGCTTAATATGTTTCTATTTAGGTAATCTTGACAAATACCTATTAAAAGTGCGTGGGTCTAGATTTTTACCTTTTAGTCTTGATTTTTAACCTTTTTAGTCAAATAATTACACTAATAAAAGGATATTTATCTAGAGTAAGGGATAAAGATCTAGACTAAATTATATATTTTTTCTTATGCTTTTGGGCTATATGCCCTGGGCCTAAATTTTGAGGCCAGGCCCATCAGGAATGAACATTTTAAGTTAACTTGAGGAATACCGTAAGTGGCATTCAATTTTAGATTTCTAATCATTTAGAGTACTGAATTTCTCTACTCCAAAGGAATACGGATCAATATTCAAAGGTAAACAAAATAGGTTCAATTGAAATTGTCCCAACTGATCAAAGGTAATATGCTACATTATTATCGATAATCTACCATATGACACCGGGAAATCAATAGGGAGTCAGTGACCATATGCCATATGATTTGTTGCAAACATTCCTTAATGTTTTGTTACACTTTCATATTGTAGAACTAGGACGATTTTCTTTCTTCTTTTTTTTTTTTATACTAAAACTTAAGTTTAAAATTGATCGAGTTTTCTTATTTATTTGTTTATTCTCATTTAGTCCTTGGACCGTGATGGCATTTAGTACCTTTCAATTAGACTATTTATACAATAAGCAACCCAAGAAATGTAAGGGCCAATAAATTTATGAGGAAATTATGTGACATGTCTCAAAAGGTTCACATTTATGTCGCTGAACACAAATATATTCAATATTTTTAAGTGAATTGAGTAGTATAGATCTTAAATTTTGTCCTATTAATTGGCATAAATGTAAAGATGACATTATTTGAGTCACACTTCTGGATTTCTCACATTTTGTTTTGGGGGCAAAATCGAGCCCATGATGTTAAATTTTGCTTTATGTGTAAATAGGCCCTTAAAAATGCAAAGCCTGAAATTTTCTATTCAGGGCAAAATCCAGCCCGTAATGTAACGGTGGACACAAACACATCAACTGCGAAACAGAGCTACCAACAGTAGATAGAGAAATCTTTTGTATAGTGCAAAAAATTCTCACAACGTTGGGGGTGATCAAAATTTATCTCAGTTTTTCAGATATTATTTGAGTTCAGAATAACAACGTCAAGCTCACATATATAAAATACCCAAAAGTAGAAACTGAGCTACATGACAATAAATTATACTTTCTTTTAAACTAAAAGCTCCTGCTTTTTAGAACCTATTGATCACAAAATTTTCCGGTCAAACTAAGGCTCAAATTAAAATAAAGTTACTATACTAGTACTCAAATTAATATTACCTATTCATTTTACTGGGCTACAATGTCGTATGGAGTTATAGAAAACAACAATATCATTTCACCAATTCGTTCGAGTTTTCAATT